AGACTTAATACAAGATAACTTTTGAAGATTAACAATTATGTTCATTTGCTTTATATACTAAAACAATTGAGCCTTTGTCGAGTCTACCGTCATTTTAGGCAAGATACTACATTACTATGATGGCTCAGTGTCCATCACTGTCAATGTTCATATGCGCGAATACAGATTAACAGCACGCACTCGTGTAATTTGAAGTACATGGTGCATGTCAAAAATACGTTGAATACTGTAAACAGTGCACATTAAATCTATTATTGTGTGATAGGCCCTTCGCAGTATTAAGTATTCTGAGGCGTCGAGCTTTTCAGCGCTTCCGTGCCACGGTAAATTAACTGCCATGAACGTTGAGACAGAATGTCAGTCATTAATCTCAAGTACCTAAAAAGGCTACTGAGATGGGTATCATATATGAGCGTTTAAATATATATACATCATCTGTATGAGTAAGTTAATAAAAAGGTGACTGTATGTTTTGATTATTAACTCCCCCAGTCTCTTTACCCTCTTCTCGCTCTCGTAACGAATAAACTACAAGACCACCGAGAAAGACTAGGAAATGCCCCATTTATAGGGTAAATGGTGCTGATGTGAATCATGGGGCTCTTCGCCTTGGCTTAGCAACAATATTCCAGTCAGTAAGAGAGAAATACTAAAGGAGAAGGTGAATGAAGAACATAAGAAAAAATACAGGAAAGTGGCATTCCCAACACTCTCAACTCAAGAGCATTAGAGAACTGAGACGTGGGAAGGAGAGTGCACTCGACACATTGTATACAAAAGAATAGAAATAGACGTGGGCTGAACATAGAGCTACATGTGAAGTTAGCAAATTGAGTATGAAGCTGACTGATCAGACCCCAAGTAATGAGCGAAGACCAGATGGAAGATATAGGGATGGCACAGACCAGTAGTACTAGCGATAGTAGTAGTGAGAGAGGTTAGAAACAGTGATAGTAGTAGGAGGTCAGAGATCTATTGTGGCATTATGGCATGACTATTATTATTATTGCTATTGTTATCATTATTACCATAATCATTATCATGCTTTCACTTTGACATAAACATCAATTCATATCATTTTATGTTGAATTCATCGAGCTACTTGAAATTACCTTGCGTTAATCGTTTCTGGTATCATCTCGAAGGTGTTAATAAGAATTCAGATTAACTGTCTGTGGATTTTTTTTTCCAAGCAAATTCATTCTAGCATTCTCGCACACGCTCATTTACTCGCTCACTTGTGTAAACAAAAGCTATACTGCTATACTGTTATGTTCGCAAATATTTCCTGGCAAATGCAGTGGGGATTAGAATTGATTCACGATAATGGCGGCTGCAGGAAAAAAAAAAGAATTTCAAATAAGCACAAGCTACGAAAAATCGGAAAACAGTTTTATTTCCACACATTTTTTTATGTATATATACCGTAGTAGTTCTAATACGTACTAGTTTTACTGTGCTGCTGGTGCTATGGGGAGCATGGGGGGGGGGTCCCGTCGGCTGAGGACAAGGCTGTCCTGAATCGCTACTGCTCGGTGATGTCTGATGGATAATAATAATAATAATGATAGGCAAGGAGAAGAGGGAAAGCAACGAGGGGGGGGAAGGTTAAGTTCAGAATATGAAGGTGAGAGACTGAAGGCATTTATCATGTCTGGATCATAGCTAAGGAAGCAGAAGGTCAACTGAAATTTCATCTATTCTCTTTATTTTATCTTATCTTTATTCTTATATCTTTTGAAATCTAAAAGACTACTAAACACTAAAGCTAAAGACAAAGATACGAGAACGGTTTTTTTTTATTTTTTTTATCTCATTGTTTTAGTTTAAGTTGAAAAAGTCAATTAACTATTTTATAGTGTTTTTTTTTATTTATCTATTTATTAATTCGTTGATCATTATTGTTATTACTGAACTAGGTCCAAGTAAACGAAAAGTATTATAACTATCTATGAATATATAATAGAGGATGAAGGAGAACGTTACTATAAAGATACAAAGAAGATCAATTGGTGACGGTGAGGCGGACAGGTGAGGTACAGGTGAGGTACAGGTGAAGTACAGGTGAAGTACATGGGTGAGAAATATAGGGTACTGTGCGGAGGGCGAATAGGGCGGTATGTTGCGTCGTTTTGGGGGTTTGATTAACAGCCGTGACATCTCGGTGCGATGGATGCAAGGTGTGGGAGGGAGTCTGATGTAGATCAGGTATGAAATAAGTGATGATTGATTTGTTGCAATGATGCATGCATTATTGCGTGTGCCTGTGTACTTCTGCAGTCTGTGCCATCTCCCACCTTACATCTGGTCTTTGCTTACTATTTGGGCTCATGTAACAAAATCACGGCAAATCTCACAGAAGACGATGACAATAAGATAAAGAGGCAATTGAGATTAAGGATCGTTCGATTTACTGACTCAAAGTCCATGGCAGTTAATTTGCCGTGACGCGGAAGCACTGAAGTCAGTGTTGCCAGCTTTTTTTTTCAAAATCCGCTTACCGACCTAAAAAAAAATCCGTCAAATAATAGATGATAGTTCTAAAGAAAATCCCGTTAGATTTGACGAAAAAATTCACTGGTTACAGACTGATATTCAAGATCAGTAGATTTAGCAGTACTTAAGATTTCGACACTTTACAGTACTTTATATCGTGATTTGCAAAGTCAAACTTCGCCATACATATGGCCCGGCATGTGTCAGCTATGTATGGCTATCTCAACTGATTCTCTGGCACTCGATGCTTACCATGATGGCCGTGTTGCCAGCAGGTGCTCCTGACGCCACAATAGAATCTCTTTACCCGCCCGCCGGCTGTTGTTATTATTCCTGTCTCCGTCGTCAATGGGGTTTGGATAACCTTACTTCCTCGTTAGTTAGCAAAGCTCGACCTAACCTCCTTGTTAGTTAGCAAAGCTCGACCTAACCTCCTTGTGAGTTAGCAAAGCTCGACCTAACCTCCTTGTTAGTTAACAAAGCTCGACCTAACCTCCTTGTTAAGGTAGCAAAGCTCGACCTAACCTCCTTGTTAGTTAGCAAAGCTCGACCTAACCTCCTTGTTAGTTAGCAAAGCTCGACCTAACCATCTTGTTAGTTTGCAAAGCTCGACCTAACCTCATTGTTAGTTAGCAAAGCTCGACCTAACCTCCTTGTTAAGGTAGCAAAGCTCGACCTAACCTCCTTGTCAGTTAGCAAAGCTCGACCTAACCTCCTTGTTAGTTAACAAAGCTCGACCTAACCTCCTTGTTAGTTAGCAAAGCTCGACCTAACCTCCTTGTTAAGGTAGCAAAGCTCGACCTAACCTCCTTGTTAGTTAGCAAAGCTCGACCTAACCTCCTTGTTAGTTAGCAAAGCTCGACCTAACCTCCTTGTTAGTTAGCAAAGCTCGACCTAACCTCCTTGTTAGTTAGCAAAGCTCGACCTAACCTCCTTGTTAGTTAGCAAAGCTCGACCTAACCTCCTTGTTAGTTAGCAAAGCTCGACCTAACCTCCTTGTTAGTTAGCAAAGCTCGACCTAACCTCCTTGTTAAGGTAGCAAAGCTCGACCTAACCTCCTTGTTAGTTAGCAAAGCTCGACCTAACCTCCTTGTTAGTTAGCAAAGCTCGACCTAACCTCCTTGTTAGTTAGCAAAGCTCGACCTAACCTCCTTGTTAGGTAGCAAAGCTCGACCTAACCTCCTTGTTAGTTAACAAAGCTCGACCTAACCTCCTTGTTAAGGTAGCAAAGCTCGACCTAACCTCCTTGTTAGTTAACAAAGCTCGACCTAACCTCCTTGTTAGTTAGCAAAGCTCGACCTAACCTCCTTGTTAGTTAGCAAAGCTCGACCTAACCTCCTTGTTAGTTAGGAAAGGTCGACCTAACCTCCTTGTTAGTTAGCAAAGCTCGACCTAACCTCCTTGTTAGTTAGCAAAGCTCGACCCAACCTCCTTGTTAGTTAGCAAAGGTCGACCTAACCTCCTTGATAGTTAGCAAAAGTCGACCTAACCTCCTTGTTAAGGTAGCAAAGCTCAACCTAACCTCCTTGTTAGTTAACAAAGCTCGACCTAACCTCCTTGTTAAGGTAGCAAAGCTCGACCTAACCTCCTTGTTAGTTAGCAAAGCTCGACCTAACCTCCTTGTTAGTTAGCAAAGCTCGACCTAACCTCCTTGTTAGTTAACAAAGCTCGACCTAACCTCCTTGTTAGGTAGCAAAGCTCGACCTAACCTCCTTGTTAGTTAGCAAAGCTCGACCCAATCTCCTTGTTAGTTAGCAAAGCTCGACCTAACCTCCTTGTTAGTTAGCAAAACTCGACCTAATCTCCTTGATAGTTAGCAAAGCTCGACCTAATCTCCTTGTTAGTTAGCAAAGCTCGACCTAACCTCCTTGTTAGTTAGCAAAGCTCGACCTAATCTCCTTGATAGTTAGCAAAGCTCGACCTAATCTCCTTGATAGTTAGCAAAGCTCGACCTAATCTCCTTGTTAGTTAGCAAAGCCTTCCCCACGCTCTTCGATCCTGACCCTCCTTGTATCAATTTCGTATTATTCTTCTGAAGAGGAACTCATGAAGAGTTCGAAACGTCACGATTTATTTTCATTTCTTCCTGTGGCTGTTTTCCTTTTGATCTTTATGTACTCGTTACTATATTTGTGTTTGTGTCATTTATGGAAGCCACGTTCATTCCCTTGGTACTATCCTCCGTGCCTTTTTAGACAGTATCAGCAAGCGCTGACTTCCTCCAGAAGGAAGAAACAGGTTAAGTTTCTGCAAGACTGCCTTTGCGGATAGGAAAGTCTCCCTTCTTTTGGCCAGTATTTTTAGAGTTCTAGATTAGGCATTCCTTTTTCTAGTTGTGAGCGTCACCGTTTACACGAGAGTATCCGTTGCGCTAAATTAGATGTCGATGATGCATTTCTTCAAGTTCGTAAGTCTCTTACAGTGCTTAGAGAACCCACCCCTGCTCAGTGTATTGACGACATTTAAGCAATTGCAGCTCGTAGATCTTCCTTTGAAAGCGAACGCCATTTCAAAGATCCTTCGGCAGGCAAATTAATAATCTTTGCTCGCGTAGCGCCTGGTGTAAATTTCCCCATACATTTATTGTCTTATTCCCTATCACGTTATGAAACCGAACTTTTAGTTTTTGGTTTATCGTTTGCTACCAAACCCAGCGCTAACCATTGTTTAAGTTATATCAAGGGTCTTGATTGTTTCATTGCGAAGTAAAACAAATCCTCGATTAAAGATCTCAGCTACCTTAAAGGTGTTATGTTAAATCCAATTATTACTTTGACGATTTCAGAGACTTACCCCGACTTTATTTTTTGGCCACCAGATTACTTAACCGCAATTTTGACATTATAATCACCAAAGCCGACAAAGGTAATAACGTAGTCATCCTTAATAAATTTGATAATATAAACAAGGATCATTCCCTCTTCAACGACAACGTATCAAAAACTGCGCTCCTTCCCTTACCCGTCTGCCCCGGAATCCTTTTGTAAAAACTTCAGCGGTATTTTTGCCAAATGTCCTGACCAGATTTTTTTGTTCGCTTTAGAGCGGTAAATCCCTCTATTCCGTATTTTCGTGGCCTTCGTAAAACGGGGCGTCCCTCTAAGACCCATTATTTCGTCTTGTAACTCAGTTGCCCGTCCATTAGACTTTCGGCTAGCGAGTGTTTTACCTTCTTTTATGGGGTTCTTTTCTGATAGTCATATTAAATATTCGTTGGATTTCATGAATAAGGTTAGAAACTTGCCGACGCACGGTAAGAAATTAGCGAGTTTTGAAGTAGATTCCTTGTTTACTAAAGACCCGCTTGACGATGTGCTAGATTTTCTTGAAAGAAAACTTTCTTCATCTCATGAGAAGATCCCTATTCCGGTCAATTGTTTTATCGATCTCATTCATTTGTGTGTCACGAATGTCTGTTATTGACGGCGAATTTTATAAACACATCAATGATATAGCGGTGGGAAGTAGCTTAAGCCCGGTTCTTGTGAATTTATACATAGAGATATTTGAAACTGAACTCCTTCCGTCTATTCTCCCTCCCGACACGATTTGGTTTCGTTATGTCGATGTTTTTTTTTTTCCTTTATGGCGAGTGAACTGCTCAGATAACTCAACAACCTCACGCTTACTGTCAATTTCAGAGTAGATTGGGATAATTTAGTTAAATGAACTTTTCTCAATGTTTTTTTTATTCAGTGCAAAATAGCTCGCTTTAATTTTCGGTTTACCGTAAACCTACTCACACCGCTAATTACCTTCATTTTTTCTCGAATGACCTGTGGTATATTAAAAAGTCAGTAGTCTCGTCAATGTTTCTTAGGGCATATAGGATTTGTGATGAATTTGTCGACTGGGATCCAGACTTCACTTTTGAAAAGTTTCCGAAATTAGGATATCCTCGTTTTTTCTTAAATCAGGCCCATTCATCTGCGAGATGGAAATTTCATACTCATTCCCGTATTACTCAACAGGATAGTACCAGTAATCTAATTATACTTATTAATTATTCTGTGTAACCCGTCCCTCGATGAAAAATGATTGATGTTGATATTGATATTCTTTTCACATATCCTAACACGTTACGTAATACTCTGGTTAAGTACAATGCGACTAGGAGTGCTCTTGAGACTTTTCCCGTCCATATACTAAACTGGAAAAGCGCTGAATTAATCCATAAAGTTCGTATGAAAGAAAAATACTAGAATCTCTATTAATTAGTAGAAAATAAATAAATAAATAAATAAAATTATTTAAATTAAATTTTAGCTTTCCTCAGGCTTTTCGATCTTGACCCCCCCCCCTGAGACCTGATTCAGCTCTGATTCGTTCTGTCTCTCAACCACTATATTTTCTTGTCAAAATTCTCTCCTCGTATCCAATTCGGTTTATTATTCGTCTGAAGAGGAATTCGTGAAGAGTTCGAAACGTCACGATTTATTTTCATTGCTTTCTGTGGCTCTTTTCCTTTTCGCCTGGCAGTATCTATGCTCCTCCTCTAGTCTATGTATGAAAGTATTCAACGTGTATTTTTAGGGACATATGGTAACTTACTATGGTCTTCAGTAGCTTCCTTTTTAAGTTCTTATCGACTCCAACCACTCCAACGCAAATTGACACCCATTTATTTGATACAGTGTGTATATATGCGTAAATATATATATGTGTGTGTGTGTGTGTGTGTGTCTGTGTGTCTGTGTGTGTATGCATGTTTTTTTTCACAAAGAGAACCATATGTAGGTGTCTATCGTTTTCCCAAGTTGAGAAATGCTTATGGAATATAGTACAACAATGCAGTTCACCACTTGCCAAATACGTGGACAGAAAAATGGTTGGCAGACTAAGTGATTGATTACAACCTAATGCTAATGACTTATCTAAACAATAGCCATCCCATTGAAACAAACCAACGCCACCGGTGGCACTAGCGCCCACGCCGAGGGCCACTGATATGTTATTCTATACATCATTATATGCCAGTTTTAATATAGAGGATGGTTGAGATGCGTGTTGTTGAAGAAGTGTTTTGTATAAAAAATATAAGCAAATCCTGTGATTAGTTAATGATTAATCAAGCTTTGCTATGATGTGCTGGTATTCGGAAACGAATGTAAAAAGTGGCTCTAGTGGCTGACATGACACTCTCAGAAAGGCTTATACACACACACATATGTACATGCCTACACATACATACAGCTATGATGTGCTGGTATTCGGAAACGAGTGTAAAAAGTGGCTCTAGTGGCTGACATGACACTCTCAGAAAGGCTTATACACACACACATATGTACATGCCTACACATACATACGTGCATACACACGGTTACACATACATATGTACGTACACTCACACATATATATATATAAATATAGAGAGAGCGAAAGCTAGACAAAACACATACATGCAGTACACATATAATGCTTATACAATAATCACGTGATGAGTGGAAAAAAACATTTAGTTGATAGTTATATAATATTCTAGTATATGTACGCAGTTACATCTATGTAAACATTGTTATCTATGTAAACACTAAAACACATATAAAAAGCAAACACACCACATATAATGTTTATTAATTTGTATATTTATATAGAGATAAGCATGGTCTTTCAACTTTCATTAATGGAAGGTACTCCGAAATTTTTACATATACAGTCCATTTATGGGAGTAATATGTATTTAGAACAAATGTGAAAGTTAAACAAGTTGGTGCACAAATAAAGACAATGAGACAGAATCGAGACAGAAATAGCTCTGACGTGAAACATTACAGCGGGAGATAAACGCCCATCACTGGTGGGTTGACGAGATACGTTGTCGTTTACGGGTACAGTCAACCTGCGAGGCCACCAGTCGTGGTGCAAGCCCGAGGGCGGACACTGGCACCACAAGCCGCCATGTGGGCCGTGGCGATCAGTGGCGACCAGGCTCTAGCTGAGGCAACAGTTGGTTCATCGCTCGTACATGTGAGTGCTTGGCCTCTGCCGTTGAATTCTCAGAGACAGTAATAACGGGTGTTCTTGTTAACACAGTGGTACTCTGTCCATTAACTTTGTATACACGTTACTGTGTTCATGCTTGTTCATATATGAATATGTTTATGTGTATATTTGTGTACATGTGTGTTTGCGAGTATGTATGTATGTATATACAACCACATACACGTACACGCACATATACACATGTATATAATATGTATAACATACATATGTATATAATATGTATAACATACATATGTATATAATATGTATAACATACATATGTATATAATATGTATAACATACATATGTATATAATATGTATAACATACATATGTATATAATATGTATAACATACATATGTATATAATATGTATAACATACATATGTATATAATATGTATAACATACATATGTATATAATATGTATAACATACATATGTATATAATATGTATAACATACATATGTATATAATATGTATAACATACATATGTATATAATATGTATAACATACATATGTATATAATATGTATAAGTATAACATACATATGTATATAATATGTATAACATACATATGTATATAATATGTATAACATACATATGTATATAATATGTATAACATACATATGTATATAATATGTATAACATACATATGTATATAATATGTATAACATACATATGTATATAATATGTATAACATACATATGTATATAATATGTATAACATACATATGTATATAATATATATGTAATATATATATACATATATGTATATATGTGATGTAACATATCACCCATTTCGGTCTTTGAGCATCTGTAAAAAAATGAAGAGCGGACAGGCAGACAAGATTCCGATTTTCCAGCTCCTGTGTGTCGTGTGCCACCACTCCGCATCAGGATGATTTGCTCTCCGGCGATGGCGATCAGGGTCTTGCTTGGACTCTGGTTTCTGACGCGCACACACGCACGTAACTATTCTGGGATTTAAGAGAAGACAGATACGTATATTGGAGACAGATGATGAGATCTTTACATAGTGTTATGAGTAATCATGTCTAGCTTGGACATGCTTCAAGTCACTTGGCCTTTTCCTGTTTTGGATGTTATAAATCTTAAGAATATATCACGGGATGGGAGGAAATTTTAGAATCCAGAATGAAACGCCACAATCAATGGCCGATGTCTGAAAACTGCATATAATATAAAGAGAAATTAACAATGTATACATCCCATGCACACCGAGAGACATATCGATTCATATGTGCCTATGAGAAGAGTGTGCATACCAATCAACACATTTACAATCACGCAGATGGACTTGCAATGAATAAACAGTCTGCTCATTTTCAGGCTCTTTGCTGATAGTTCTCTGTCACTTATATTTCGATGTAGTGACCGTTGCTTATGTTCCATACTTTATTTATGTTCATGTTGTTAATCCTTATAATATATCCTTATCATCAATATTACGCTTGCTACTAAAATAATTTCTATTACTATCATTATCTGTTCAGTTTCCCTTTGTGATCGTCGGTCGATTCAGTGTGCAACAGAATGGCGATGTATCTCGCGTAATGGGATCTGTGATGGTGTAAGTGACTGCGGAGACAACTCTGATGAAAGCATTTGTTCTGTAAGTAACTGTTGTACTTCCTGGGTTGAAATATGATTACTTGAAAAATATTGTTTGCTAGATACAGCAGGTAATACCCATATATATATATATATATATATATATATATGTGTGTGTGTGTGTGTGTGTGTGTGTGTGTGTGTGTGTGTGTGTGTGTGTGTGTGCGTGTGTGTGTGTGTGTGTATTCATTTATTTAATGAAATATAATGAATTGAAAATAACGTCTTTCAGGGAAACTGGCTAAAAATGTATACTACTACCACAACGACCACTACTGGAACTACCACAACTGCAACAACCACTACTAGTGAGTAAAACAGTGAGTGAGTGTAATTAACAAAAACAAAAGCCATACGTGGACATCAAATATCAGAATTGCTATTAAATTACGAACGTAATGTACACAATAAGAAATATTAACATTCCTCTCAAAAACATTTTGTACACTTGAGCAGTATGACAACTTTTCAAATCCGATATGCCAAGCTCGAAACACCATGAAACGGAGAGACTCAGTTAATATCATATGATTAAGGTTTTATCAGTAAGTAACAAATGCATACTCCGTCTTATTTTTTTCTTATCGTTGAATCCTGTCCCACTAAATCGTCCATTAGTGCCTATGTGATTAGTTCAGCGAAAAAGATCAAGCAATTCAGAACTGATGATTGCTGTAGTGGCACTATCTTAAGTTGTAATATCTTCTGAGACATAAATATGTTAGTTGTTTTATGAGGATAGGGGTCTGCATAAGCACTTTATGTACTGGAAAAAGAGACGATGGGTGACCGCCTGCAAGCCATGACGATGCGGTATTTGTGCATGAGTGTACTAACCAGAGGCCAACTTTTGATTAAAATGAAAATTAATCATGGAGCCATTTGTATTTTGGAATCAACTAAACTATATTACATTATATCATATCTTCCATAACTGTAGAAACAAGAAAGTGAAAGGCAAGAGAGGAAATATCTTTCATAAACTTTCATAAAAAAAAATCGCGAACGAGGGATCAGATTCTTTAAACACTGCACAAAATGATGATGTACTTTAAAGCATAAGGCTTTAAATAAATAAATCTCAGAAACTGTTAGGCTTAAGTAGTATCATCTAAAGCTTGACAAATAAGTGAAAAAAGCTCGTTAAAGTAATCACTCCATTTTTAAAGCGACGCCCGCCCCCACCCCTCCCCCACCCAACAACGTGGAGGAGAGCGAGGCGCTGGGTCAGAAGTTCGCTCGGACCTTCAACGACACACTCCACCACCCAAAATGCCCCAAGCTCTACACCAGCGTCGGGAACAAGTGCCTCTCTCTCCTCTACTTCGTCAAGGTAAAGCTTTTTTTTTCCTCTCATTATCGTTGTGTCCTGTCGTGTTTCCATTCCTTGTGTATATAGCGTCGTACCTATTTTACAATCCGATAAATAGAACTACAACTGATGCGTCGATCACTGCCTTCTCCAGGTCGGCTGGGGGGAGGCGAGGGCCCTGTGCTCGGCCGTCGGCGGGGAGCTGGCTCGCTACCCTTCTGCCTCCGACGGGGAGTTCGCTGCTCTCCTGAAGTACTTGCGGGAGATACGTGAGTCCCTCGGTGTTTCGTCTATGGGACTGCTGTATGTAGGAAATGTTCATATATGTGCACAAATTTTTCCCTTTCAAATACACACATCTATTTTTGTGTACTTTACACGCCTGTGTGTAGATAGCTATATATATATATATATATATATATATATATATATATATATATATATATATATATATATATATATATATATATATAATATATACATATATAAATATATATACATATATATGTATATATATATATATGTATATATATATATATATATATATATATATATATATATATATATATATATATTACACAACACACACAATATATAGGTATATAGATATATACGCACGCCCTTGCCCACACCCACACATACAAATATATACAAATATGCATAATAGTTACATGTTTTAATATCTATACATATGTATAATACTTTTATATTTTATCATTTACATATTATTTATGTACTATATATATAATAGTTTTATGCTTTTTAGTTATGCATATATGTACTTACACGCAAACATATATATATACAACTGCAAACTACCTCCACTCTTCCTTTTGCTCAAAGCTAATTCCCATTATACTCTTGATGTTATCACATTTTTGTATACACACACATACAGATATATAAATACATATACATATACCATATACACACCTACATATATGTAGGTGTGTCTATGTGTATATGCGTGTGTTTGACTAAAGCAGTATTTATATGTATGCATGTATGTGAGTACGTATTCAGACATGTACGCATACTGTGTCTATGACAATAAGGTGACCGACATGACCCTGCCCTTGTAAGAAAACGATCCTTCCGACTACAACAGAGATGACGACGGACTTCTGGGTGGGAGGCCGGTACACGAAGGACACCGAGGCGTGGACGTGGCTGGACGACGCCCCGATGGACCTCGGCTCGCCCTACTGGGCCGTCAGGTGAGGCAGGGTCGGCGGGTCGGGGACGCACTTCGCAGTCGCCGGAGGTCTTTCTTTCCTCCTTTCTTAAGTTATGAGATATTTTCTGATTAATTCCCTGAGTCTTCAAACGACCTTTGAGATCCAAGAAAACTGGTGTTTATCTTTTGGTCATCTACACACTGTAGAGACGTCCCTTTCCCCGCAGACACACCGACAGTTGCAGCAGCCGCCAGCAGGAGTCGGCGCCAGACGGCAAGCCTGAGGACGTCGCCTACTGGACCAACACTTCGGCCTGCTACCACTACGAGCAGGCGCCCCGGCGCGACTCCCACGAGCTCTGCGCCGCCGTCACCTTCCGCCACTACTTCTACATGAGCGACGAGGACTGCCTCAGCGTCAGGAGCCCTCTGTGTGAACATGTTCCCAGCACCGCCCATGACCTCACGCTCGCTGGCGATCCGTGATCGTTGTACTACTTCAAGAAGCCTTTGTTGACTTTGAATATTCTTATCATGAATCAGTTATGCTTTTAATTTTGCGACTTATCCAAATACAATTTTTGAAGGGTTACAATTAAGTTGGATGTCATGAAACTTCATGTTTTATATTTACTGAATATTTAGTTGTAAATTGTTGATATAGATACCATAGTTGCAGATGCAAGTAGAATACATGAATAATTACTCACAAACAATGTATATATGCGAGTGTGTATACAGTATACATATATCTATACATATATTTCTATACATGTATATGTATATATACACATATCTATACATATATTTATATACATGTATATGTATGTATACATATATCTATGCATATATTTATATACATGTATATGTATGTATACATATATCTATACATATATTTATATACATGTATATGTATATATACATATATATATACATGTATTTATATGCATGTATATACACGTATATAAATATGTGTATAGATATATGTATACTATATACACACACATATATATATTGTTTGTGAGTATATATAAATATATAAACATGTATGTAAAGTTATGTATATGCATGTATATACGTATATAAATATATATGCATATGTATGTATCCATGTGTATAGACATACATGTGTATATATCCGTATATACATATATGTGTATGTATATGTATATGTATCTATAGCGAACGTAGAGATCATACATATTCATGCTTAAGAGATCTTAATCTTATTACATGTCCAGGTGTCCTCACTGGATAGGGGGTGAGAACCAGGCAAAAAAGGATGACTATGTGTCTACATATGCAATGTACATGTCATCTGTGTTTGTATATGTTAATAAAAATAGTTATCAGCCCATCAATATCCTTACTCTTCTCGCTCTCATGACAGATAAATTGCATTAGAGGTAATAGGGTGTTCATGTGGATTATGAGGCTCATCACTATGGTCTAGCAACAATATTCCTCTAAGTAAGAGAGAATAGTAGAGAAGAATAAGATGAACACAAAGGGAATAGGGGGCTGCGCATACCAGTAGTAGTAGTGATAGTGGTAGAAACAGTAATCGTAGTAGTATACAGGGAATTTATTGTGGCGTCATGATATCGCTAAGTTTCCGATGTTTTTTTTTCACTTTTCTTCATATTCTGCACGCGATCATTCATTCACCTCGAAAAGTCCCAGACTTCCAAGCGAATTTATCTTCTTGGAACATGAGAGGAAGGGATGGAGAAAAAACGTTGATGAATGAAGGTAAGGGAGGGCAAGGGAGGAGAGGGAGTGATAGCGAGAAAATGGAGTAAAAGGGAGGAAGGATGTTCGTGTCTATACATATACACACATAACCACACAGATACGCACAATAATACAGGCATCATTGCAACTAATCTATTATCACTACTTATGAAGGGAAGGGAGGAGAGAGTGATGGGAAGAAAATGGCGTAAAAGGGAGGAAGGATGTTCGCGTCTATACATGTATGTTTCTTACAAACTCACACATAAGCACACAGACACGCACGGTAATACGTGCATCATTGCAACTAGTCAATCATCATTTATTTCATACCTGATCTACCACACCTTGCATCCGTCACACCGAGATGTCACGGCCGTTAAGCAACCCCCAAAGACGACGCAACATACCGCCCTATTCGCCCTCCGCACAGAACCCTTTATTTCTCACCCATGTACTTCACCTGTACCTCACCTGTACCTCACCTGTCCGCCTCACCGTCACCAATTGATCTTCTTTGTATCTTTCTAGTAACGTTCTCCTTCATCATCTAATACAAATTCATGTCTAGTCATATTTTACGTTCACTGGTACCTTGTTAAGCAATAAAAATAATGATAAATAAACGAATTAATTAACAGATAGATAAATAAAATGAAACAACAAAATAGTCCATTGGCTTTTCCCACTTACACTTTTGTCTTTACCGCACTGTTTAGTAGTCTCTTAGATTTCAAAATATATAGGACTAAAATAAGATCAAATAAAGAGAGAAAAGAATAAATAAAATAAAACTTCACTTTCGTTCACTTGACCTTCTGCTTCCTTAACTCTGATCCAGGCATGATAAATGCTTACAGTCTCTCACCTCCACATTGTTTACCTTCTCCTCCCCCTTCCGTTGCCCCCCCCCCGCTCCCCCGTAGTACCTGCAGCACCAGCCATCACAGTGGGGACTTGTCGTGAATCACTGTTTTCGCTGTGACCATGACGATGAAATGTTGCCTTATATTCCCTCTGTAACTCTCCCGCAGGCATGCAAAAAAAAATGAAAACGGTCTCGCCAGACAGTCCTAGGAGACGATTTATCTCCCGGGAGTGAGGATGCCCTGTATTCTCCCCGAGGCTCCGCACCTGTATAGAAACTGTATAGAAAACGCGCCCAGGAAAGAAAACGTGGCCACAGCTCCCTCCTCTTTACCGTTTTATTTTCTCTATTTCGGTTATTATGATTATTAGAAGTTCATTTTAAATTGTATTTCTGAACGAAGAAATGCGAGTAGATAGGAATCTAGTATTTTATCTTTTTACTTAAGTATTTATTATTTTGTATCCTGGGTATGACCATAAACTGCATCCAGTGATAAGACTCTGGTTCGGGAGATCTGGAGTTCTGGTGGAAATGGAGCTACCCCTTAATCATCACTGCTCTCAGGTCCTCTCATTCAGAAAGGGTCCCAGATATGAGGTTACATATCCTAATGTTGGGCAGCAGTAACATTAGTACCTAGAACTGGCAGAATAACCATTTCGATGATCACCGGTAGTTCCAAGGATAACAGTAGATAGGTCATTTATCCTGACTTTGGTTGCTGTTCTGCGGGTGGAGTAGTTCTGGGAGCCTGCTTCGTCTATTAGCCTCTTTGTACAACCAGCAACTGTTGCCAACCTCCGGACCGAAGATGGTACTTGAGAAGATTTACTATTTTAGTTCTCTTCATTCCTTTTACATATTCATTTTATTATATTGAATTCTATTAATGCACATTTTAAGTTTAATTAGTTAAGAGATGGCATGGCAACAGATTGGCCAGTTTGGTCTTTTGGTCCTGGAAGAGGGCAGTGGTTCGCAGAAGAACCCCGGAATGGGCGTGAGAAAATTCGGAATTTGTCTAATATAGTGATCAATCGACCAGTGCCTCTCATTTTTACTTAGTATTTCATGTTCTTGCGCTGTTTTATATTTTATTTTGGCAATTCTTTCCAAAAATGTATTTCGCTTTCACGTGTTTATTTGAAGATAATAGGCGACTGTTATAGGTATACTATAGTTGTATAAAATTTTTGGTTGGCGGAAATCCATATTCAGCCAACAATCTTGATTTGTTAAATAAATACCCCAATGGAGGGGGGTCCAGGGGCTGTGCCCCCGATAGGCAAATACCCCAATGGAGGGGGGTCTGGGGGCGGAGCCCCTGATAGGGAGTTAGGTAAGGTTGCTTGGTTACAACATTTTGTGTATAAACATGGCGTCACAGCTTGATAATGTTGTGTATTTCCGTAGATTTTAATGAACGCGGGCAGGTCTTCCCGTAGACTTTTTGAACGGTGGCGTTGTGAGCCGTGAGTTTGTGAAACGTGGCGTGTCGGGCCGTAGACTTTCAACGTTGGCGGGCGTAGAGTTTCCGTAGAGTTTCTTGAACTGATTTTAACGACTTTCTTTTGCTATTTCAGGAATTATTGCATTGTATTTGTTGTATATAAGCCTGTTTTACCCTATAATTTCCCCGATATACTACATGCCCTCCCCTACTATCGGGACTTAACAAATCAAGATTGTTGGCTGAATGTGGATTTCAGACAACCAAAAATGGTATACAACTATAGTATACCTATAATCGTTGCCGATTATCGTCAAATAAACATGCGAACACGAAATACATTTTTGGAAAGAATTACCGCTTTATGTTCGTGTTCATTTTATTGTTTATGTTCGTGTTCATTTTAGTGTTTTTTGTTCGTGTTTGATTTTAGTGTTTTTGTACAACCAGCAACTGTTGCCAACCTCCGGACCGAAGATGGTACTTGAGAAGATTTACTATTTTAGTTCTCTTCATTCCTTTTACATATTCATTTTATTATATTGAATTCTATTAATGCACATTTTAAGTTTAATTAGTTAAGAGATGGCATGGCAACAGATTGGCCAGTTTGGTCTTTTGGTCCTGGAAGAGGGCAGTGGTTCGCAGAAGAACCCCGGAATGGGCGTGAGAAAATTCGGAATTTGTCTAATATAGTGATCAATCGACCAGTGCCTCTCATTTTTACTTAGTATTTCATGTTCTTGCGCTGTTTTATATTTTATTTTGGCAATTCTTTCCAAAAATGTATTTCGCTTTCACGTGTTTATTTGAAGATAATAGGCGACTGTTATAGGTATACTATAGTTGTATAAAATTTTTGGTTGGCGGAAATCCATATTCAGCCAACAATCTTGATTTGTTAAATAAATACCCCAATGGAGGGGGGTCCAGGGGCTGTGCCCCCGATAGGCAAATACCCCAATGGAGCCCCTGATAGGGAGTTAGGTAAGGTTGCTTGGTTACAACATTTTGTGCATAAACATGGCGTCACAGCTTGATAATGTTGTGTATTTCCGTAGATTTTAATGAACGCGGGCAGGTCTTCCCGTAGACTTTTTGAACGGTGGCGTTGTGAGCCGTGAGTTTGTGAAACGTGGCGTGTCGGGCCGTAGACTTTCAACGTTGGCGGGCGTAGAGTTTCCGTAGAGTTTCTTGAACTGATTTTAACGACTTTCTTTTGCTATTTCAGGAATTATTGCATTGTATTTGTTGTATATAAGCCTGTTTTACCCTATAATTTCCCCGATATACTACATGCCCTCCCCTACTATCGGGACTTAACAAATCAAGATTGTTGGCTGAATGTGGATTTCAGACAACCAAAAATGGTATGCAACTATAGTATACCTATAATCGTTGCCGATTATCGTCAAATAAACATGCGAACACGAAATACATTTTTGGAAAGAATTACCGCTTTATGTTCGTGTTCATTTTAGTGTAAGTGAAGTTAGTGAAAAGTACGAGAAGTTTTTATAATATGCCCTCGCAGTATTGTGACTTGTAAGAATGAGAAATAGATTAAGTACCAGAACAAGAAACAGCGCCACACAACGCGGCACCATACAGCGTCTGGGAAGTCATCCCCCGCACACGGCTTAGACACGCTTACCGAACTCTCACTCACTACACTTTCATTCCTTCTCTCTTTCTCTCTCTCACATACTCACTGTCTCTCCGCTTCTCACACTCTTCCCTTACATTATCATCACATCACTACACTGGCACATCTGTTCCCATGTGGTAATTAAATGGGTGGTGGCAGTGAGCACTTTCCTTAAGCTTTGCGAGAGATTATTAAACAGCACCGATTGTTACAAACTTCACGCCCACACAAGCACTCCAAGAGATAAGCCTAGTACGTAGCAGAAATATACATACATACGAGAATACGTGTGTGTAAAAATAAAACTATTTAATGATTTCTGATTAATGCAAGGAAATTTCAAGTAACTCGATGAATTCAACAAAAATCATAAGACTTGATGTATATGTAAAAGAGAAAGCATGATAATGATTATGGCAATAATGATAACAACAGCAGCAACAATAATAGTGATGATGGCAAGAATTATAATAACAGTAATAATAATAATAATAACATTGGTGACAATAATCTTGATTATGGTAATAATAGCAATAATATTATTATTAACTATTTTGATAATAATTTAAAAATTATATACTAATTACAATAGCGATGATAGCAGGAGTAGATTAGTTATCAATAGATTAGTTGCAATGATGTATGTGCAACTATGTGCGTGTCTGTGTGCTTGTATGTGAGCTTGTAAGTAACCATGTATGCACACACAAGAACACCGTCCCTCCCTCCTCCTCATTTTCTTCCCATCCCTCCCTCCCCTCCCGAGCCTCCACTTTCCTTCGTATACCAACGTCTTCCTATCCTTCCCTTTCATGCCATGATGCCACAATAAATCCCTGACCTACTACTACTATCGCTGTTTCTACCTCTCTCACTACTACTATGGCTAGTACTACTGGTCTGTGTCATCCCTATATCTTCCATCTGGTCGTCCCTTATTACTTGGGGTCTGATTAGTCAGCTTCATACTCCATTTGCTAACTTCACATGTAGCTCTATGTTCAGCCCACGTCTATTTCTATTATTTTGTATACAATGTCACAAGTGCACTCTACTTCCCACGTCTCAGTTCTCTAATTTTCTTGAGAAGTTGAGTGTTGGGAATGCTACTTTTTTCATCCACTTTCGCCCTCATTATTTCTCTCTTACTGACTGGAATATTGTTGCTCAGCCAAGGTGAGGAGCCCCGTGATCCACATCAGCACCATTTAACCTATAAAGAGGGCATTTCCTAGTTTCTCTCGATGGTCTTGCAGTTTATTCGTTATGAGAGCGAGAAGAGGGTAAAGAGACTGAGGGGTTAATAATCAAAGCATACAGTCACCTGTTTATTAACTTACATATATACAGATGACATAGAAGTTATATATCTAAACACATATGATAACCATCTTAGTTTTGGGGTTTGAGATAAGTGATCTATCTCAATTAATGTTCATAACACGGACACGTGACACGGAAGCACTGAAAAGCTCGACGCTTCAGAGTACTTTGTACTGCGAAGGGCCTGTTACACAAGAATAGAATTATTGTGCACTTCCTGCACGTCATCGTATGCATATGTATATATACTGTTTGTAAGTAATTGTTCATGTACATTGCTTGTATTTATATCAACATTTTACAACTAAATATACAGTAAAGTTTCATGACATCCAACTTAATTGTAACCCTTCAAAGTTATCTTCTTATAAGTCTATACTACAATAAATGTTTATGTAGCCGTTTCACAAAATTAAAAACATAATTGATTCATGTTAAAAACATTCAAAAAGGATTCTTGAAGTAGTGCAACGATCACGGATCGCCAGCGAGCGTGAGGTCATGAGCGGTGCTGGGAACATGTTCACACAGAGGGCTCCTGACGCTGAGGCAGTCCTCGTCGCTCATGTAGAAGTAGTGGCGGAAGGTGACGGCGGCGCAGAGCTCGTGGGAGTCGCGCCGGGGCGCCTGCTCGTAGTGGTAGCAGGCCGAAGTGTTGGTCCAGTAGGCGACGTCCTCAGGCTTGCCGTCTGGCGCCGACTCCTGCTGGCGGCTGCTGCAGCTGTCGGTGTGTCTGCGGGGGAAAGGGACGTCACTGCAGTGTGTAATAAGTTGTATTTTCACTGCTTCACATGTGAGCGCTTTCTGTTGACCCTGCCTCACCTGACGGCCCAGTAGGGCGAGCCGAGGTCCATCGGGGCGTCGTCCAGCCACGTCCACGCCTCGGTGTCCTTCGTGTACCGGCCTCCCACCCAGAAGTCCGTCGTCATCCCTGCACAGCAATTGCAAATTAAGCAGGATAAAGTCCAGCAATATATTAAAAAATATGTGTATGTGTGTGAATATGTAAATACATACATACTGCACTTGCATACCCATATGTATGCGTATGCATTAATATACAGGTATGCGAAATATATATGTGTATGTGCGTGTGTATACATACATACACATACATATGCACACATGCACACGCATATATATACCAGTGTGTGTATGAATAAGATGGAATAACACTGGAACGTTCCTGGAAAGGACACAAGCCTCTACTACTGCTCAATCGTCTAGCAGTGCTAAACCAACCTGGGACCACACGACCAGTTGGTTAAGTACTGCTCATTCTGGCTCATATACCTGGGGTGGCAAGGGTTTGAGTCATGTTTGGGAAAGTTATCGATATCATTGCGATACACCATCAACCCATTTTACGTAGTATATGTCAGTACATCTGACATATGATCTGAATCATTGAATATATTCTTCCAAATTGTTTGTGCATAAAACATCTCCATTAGTACTTTAGAATGAGTAGAAAGGCAATGTCTATGAGCCAGCAAGATCCTAGGTGCACATTCCTTTTGTTAGGTTGTAGTACTGCTTATTCTGGGAAATGTTTCTGGAGTGGCGAGTCCGTGCTGGGGAGGGTTGTGACACCCACATATATAAATTCATACCTATTTCACGAATTGAATGAAACAGCAAGACACTTACCTATCTCCCGTAGGTACTTGAGGAGGGCAGCGAACTCCCCGTCGGAGGCAGAAGGATAGCGAACCAGCTCCCCGCCGATGGCCGAGCACAGGGCCCTCGCCTCCCCCCAGCCGACCTAGAGAAGGCAGCGAAGGACGCATCAGTGGCGACCAATAATTATTTAGTAAATTAATATTCCCGGTTGATTATCTCTTCTTTCACAGAACCAGTTTACTCTGTATTTCTCCTAAGCTTAATCGGAAGTTTTAGAATCGTAGTTCCATGAAACTAGAAATAAGTTTGCTCTCCTTTGCGTAGCTGCAATGCTATATACGCAAGGAATGTAAACACGACAGGACATAACGACAGTGATAGAAAAAAAAAAACTTTACCTTGACGAAGTAGAGGAGAGAGAGGCACTTGTTCCCGACGCTGGTGTAGAGCTTGGGGCATCTTGGGTGGTGGAGTGTGTCGTTGAAGGTCCGAGCGAACTTCTGACCCAGCGCCTCGCTCTCCTCCACGTTGTTGGGTGGGGGAGGGGTGGGGGCGGGCGTCGCTTAAGAAAGGGCGATTATCTCAACAAAGTATTTCACTTAATTGCCGAGCTCTAATCTTATCCATATAATATCAATAGAATCTCACCATTTCATTGTGATTCAAGTATGGCAGATTTAAAAGCAATTATGATATTTGAATGCATGTTATTTTTTTATTACATATCTCTACAGTTATCATTATTTTACTCACTAGTAGTTGTAGTGGTTGTGGTAGTAGTGGTCGTTGTACTAGCAGAATGTATCATAAGCCGCTTTCCCTGAGAGAACGATTTTAATTTCATAATTTCTCATTATTTATATATATACATCTGTGCGTGTGTGTGTCAGTCTGTGTTATCTTTATCTTGTCAGCAAGCCATATATTCAGTTAATCATATTTCATCCAAGGAAGTACGACAGTCACTTACAGAACAAACGTTTTCATCTGATTTGTCGTAGCAGTTAAATACACCATTACAGATACCATCGCGTGGAATGCATTGCCCTGTTGTAGCACATTCAATCGTCCAATAATCACATGAGCTGACTGTGAATAGATAATCATAATGAAAATTATTATAGCAATAGCGGTAATATTGACGATAACGAAAATAGTATAAGGATTGGCATTATGAACATTAATAAAATATGGAAAATAAGCAGCGATCACTACGCAAAATTAAATGTGACAGGAAAATCAGCACAGAACCTCAAAGTGAGTACATTGTCGGCCTCCAACTTTCCACACATTGCAAGTCCTTGTGCGTGAATGTGTACATATGTTGACCGTCTCTCGGTGTATAACGTCAATTCGTGTGCGTGTATGGGATGTATAGAATTTTCATTTCCATTTTTCATACGACTAGATATTTGGATTTTCAAATTTCTTCTACTGCTGTTTTTTTATATGGAACAGATAAAACCATTCTTTCTTAGGATCTTCAACATTCAAAACAGGAAAAGACCAGGTGACCTGAAACACTCCCATGCTAGAAATGATTACTCGTAACATCTTCTAAAGACTTCATTATCGATCTCCAACATCTGTATCTACCTTCTCTTAAATCCCAGATGCTTGCGTACGTCACAATACCCCCCCCCCAAGCCCACCTGAGAGCCTGCAAGAGAGTCCAAGCACCCCCCCCAAGCCCACCTGAGAGCCTGCAAGAGAGTCCAAGCACCCCCCCCCCCAGCCCACCTGAGAGCCTGCAAGAGAGTCCAAGCACCCCCCCCCCCAGCCCACCTGAGAGCCTGCAAGAGAGTCCAAGCACCCCCCCCCCCCAGCCCACCTGAGAGTCTGCAAGAGAGTCCAAGCACCCCCCCCCCCCCCAGCCCACCTAAGAGCCTGGAAGAGAGTCCTAGCACCAGCAAGAGTCTAATCGCCATCGCCGGAGAGCAAATCATCTCGGAGTGCGGGGATGGCACAGGGCACACAGCATCTGGAAAGGAAAATCGGAATCCCTTTTACCGTCCGCTTTTCGTTTCGAATACAAGTTCATCTGCTCAAAGACCGAATTTATATTATATTATAGCCATATCATTAATATACACATGCATACATACAACGCACATACCCACTAACGCATACACACATATATATATATGTGTGTGTGTGTGATCACAAAGATAAACAGTGCCACAATATGAAATGAACACGAACGCAAAGTTAGGATTTCAGACGAAGTAAAATCCCGAAATGAAATTTTGTTTCGTCTCATAAGGAATTCCAAACGAGGTAGGTTTCCTTGTCTTTGTTATACTTTACACGACTCTGTTGACACACATGTATGTATTTATATATTTCATATATGTGTGTGTATATACATATGTGTGATATAAATGCATACCTATGTTATATATACATATATATTATATACACATTTATTCCATAAGCCTTTTATACCATATACTTTTGTACTTAATGTTCCTGATGTATGTGTGACAAGAACACCCGTAATTAATGCCTGTCTCTGAGGATTAAACGGCAGAGGCCAAGCACTCACAGGCGCGAGCGATGAACCAACTGTTGCCTCAGCTGGAGCCTCGTCGCCACTGATCGCCACGGCCCACATGGCGGCTTGTGGTGCCAGTGTCCGCCCTCGGGCTTGCACCAGGACTGGTGGCCTCGCAGGTTGACTGTACCCGCAAACGACAACGTATCTCGTCAACCCACCAGTGATGGGCGTTTATCTCCCGCTGTAATGTTTCGCGTCAGAGCTATTTCTGTCTCGATTCTGTGTCTCTTTGTCTTTATTTGTACAACTTTTTTAACGTTCATATTTGGCCTCCACAAATATACTCATATAAATGGACAGTAGATTGTAAGACTGCTTTTTTAAGCGTGTCTGCATTTTTCCGTGTAAAATAATTAATACATAGATTTATGTAAAGTGCGTAAATATACTATATAGAATGATAAATAACTATTAACGGCAGTGGAAGCACTCATCACGTGCTGCAACTCTAAAATTCATATATAATCATTAAAGTAATTATGTATGTCGGCAGAGGCCAAGCACTCACATGCACGAGCGATGAACCAACTGTTGCCTCAGCTGGAGCCTCGTCGCCACTGATCGCCACGGCCCACATGGCGGCTTGTGGTGCCAGTGTCCGCCCTCGGGCTTGCACCACGACTGGTGGCCTCGCAGGTTGACTGTACCCGCAAACGACAACGTATCTCGTCAACCCACCAGTGATGGGCGTTTAACTCCCGCTGTAATGCTTCGCGTCAGAGCTATTTCTGTCTCGATTCTGTGTCTCTTGGTCTTTATTTGTACAACTTGTTTAACGTTCATATTTTGCCTCCACAAATATACTCATATAAATGGACAGTAGATTGTAAGACTATTTTTTTAAGCGTGTCTGCATTTTTCCGTGTAAAGTAATTAATACATAGATTTATGTAAAGTGCGTAAATATACTATATAGAATGATATATAACTATTAACGGTAGTGGAAGCTCTCATCACGTGCTGCAACTCTAAAATTCATATATAATCATAAAGTAATTATGTATGTGTGTACTGTATATACATGCATATGTATAAATATGTGTGTACAGAAATGTGTACATGTATGTGTGTGCATATATATCCATCTCTCTGTAAATGTATACAGTATATATGTGTGTATATATACATGTGTGATATAAATGCATACCTATGTTATAGGTATACTTTTGTACTTAATGTTCCTGATGTATGCGTGACAAGAGCACCCGTAATTAATGTCTGTCTCTGAGGATTAAACGGCAGAGGCCAAGCACTCACATGCACGAGCGATGAACCAACTGTTGCCTCAGCTGGAGCCTCGTCGCCACTGATCGCCACGGCCCACATGGCGGCTTGTGGTGCCAGTGTCCGCCCTCGGGCTTGCACCACGACTGGTGGCCTCACAGGTTGACTGTACCCGCAAAAGACAACGTATCTCGTCAACCCACCAGTGATGGGCGTTTATCTCCCGCTGTAATGTTTCATGTCAGGGCTATTTCTGTCTCGATTCTGTGTCTCTTGGTCTTTATTTGTACAACTTGTTTAACGTTCATATTTTGCCTCCACAAATATACTCATATAAATGGACAGTAGATTGTAAGACTATTTTTTTAAGCGTGTCTGCATTTTTCCGTGTAAAGTAATTAATACATAGATTTATGTAAAGTGCGTAAATATACTATATAGAATGATATATAACTATTAACGGTAGTGGAAGCTCTCATCACGTGCTGCAACTCTAAAATTCATATATAATCATAAAGTAATTATGTATGTGTGTACTGTATATACATGCATATGTATAAATATGTGTGTACAGAAATGTGTACATGTATGTGTGTGCATATATATCCATCTCTCTGTAAATGTATACAGTATATATGTGTGTATATATACATGTGTGATATAAATGCATACCTATGTTATAGGTATACTTTTGTACTTAATGTTCCTGATGTATGTCGTGACAAGAGCACCCGTAATTAATGTCTGTCTCTGAGGATTAAACGGCAGAGGCCAAGCACTCACAGGCAGCGAGCGATGAACCAACTGTTGCCTCAGCTGGAGCCTCGTCGCCACTGATCGCCACGGCCCACATGGCGGCTTGTGGTGCCAGTGTCCGCCCTCGGGCTTGCACCACGGACTGGTGGCCTCGCAGGTTGACTGTACCCGCAAACGACAACGTATCTCGTCAACCACCACCAGTGATGGGCGTTTATCTCCCGCTGTAATGCTTCGCGTCAGAGCTATTTCTGTCTCGATTCTGTGTCTCTTTGTCTTTATTTGTACAACTTTTTAACGTCATATTTGGCCTCCACAAATATACTCATATAAATGGACAGTAGATTGTAAGACTGCTTTTTTAAGCGTGTCTGCATTTTTCCGTGTAAAATAATTAATACATAGATTTATGTAAAGTGCGTAAATATACTATATAGAATGATAAATAACTATTAACGGCAGTGGAAGCACTCATCACGTGCTGCAACTCTAAAATTCATATATAATCATAAAGTAATTATGTATGTGTGTACTGTATATACATGCATATGTATAATATGTGTGTACAGAAATGTGTACATGTATGTGTGTGCATATATATCCATCTCTCTGTAAATGTATACAGTATATATGTGTGTATATATACATGTGTGATATAAATGCATACCTATGTTATAGGTATACTTTTGTACTTAATGTTCCTGATGTATGCGTGACAAGAGCACCCGTAATTAATGTCTGTCTCTGAGGATTAAACGGCAGAGGCCAAGCACTCACATGCACGAGCGATGAACCAACTGTTGCCTCAGCTGGAGCCTCGTCGCCACTGATCGCCACGGCCCACATGGCGGCTTGTGGTGCCAGTGTCCGCCCTCGGGCTTGCACCACGACTGGTGGCCTCGCAGGTTGACTGTACCCGCAAACGACAACGTATCTCGTCAACCCACCAGTGATGGGCGTTTATCTCCCGCTGTAATGTTTCGCGTCAGAACTATTTCTGTCTCGATTTTTTTTTTTTTTTTTTTTAGCAAGAAAGAAATGCTCGTTTAAGATTAAATATTTATATGAAAATATTTTATTCATCGTATATCATTATTTATTCAAACCCGTTACTGTGTATCATGCAATATGTTTTTCCTTCCGTAAGTCAATAAGAAATTTAAAAGGATGCTACTAAAGAACATAGTAAGTTACCATATGTCACTAAAAATATAAATCATGTTTCAAGTAGGTCTGAGCAACAGCGAACTTTAGGACTTCTATTTATCGGATTGTAAAATAGGTTTTAATCCTTAAACGTCTGTGAATGCTAGACTATGTTAAGAATCCTTAGCGATACTCTTCATAAAACAATTCAGAGAACCATATCTGTACACATATATCCATATGTGTGCGTGTGTGTATATACATAAATATATATATGAATCTACATATACATTGCATATGTGTTGTGTTGATTAGAAAGGCTATTCAAATAAGTAAGGGTGGTACTGCCAAACTTTTCGAGAAGCCTAAGTTCAGTATTAGAATATAGACTGTAGGTAATAATATATATATATATATGCATGAGCGTGTGTGCACATACACATACACATACATATGCATATATATATGTATGAATGTATCTACTTTGTATGAGTATAAATGTGATATATACACATATATACACATGTGTGTTATGGATATAGATACATATATATCAGTGTATATGTATATAAATATATATATTTATATTGTGTATTTTTATGTATGTTTGTATATGATTTATGTATGGCTATATATGTATATATATGCATATAAAGATATATATGTGTAGTGCATATATTTGTATTTATATATGTACAAATGCATGTGTGTATAAATGCATATATAGAGATATATATGTGTGTATGTGTGCACATGTACACATACATACATATATATATATATATACATGTGTGTTTGCACATATATATATTACATATATAAATATACTTATACAAAAAAAATGTGTGTGTAAGACGGTTGTGAATGATGAATAAGTAATTGCACAGGAAGAGACAGGCGCAGAATCGAGGCAGAAATAGCTCTGACGCGAAACATTACAGCGGGAGATAAACGCCCATCACTGGTGGGTTGACGAGATACGTTGTCGTTTACGGGTACAGTCAACCTGCGAGGCCACCAGTCGTGGTGCAAGCCCGAGGGCGGACACTGGCACCACAAGCCGCCATGTGGGCCGTGGCGATCAGTGGCGACGAGGCTCCAGCTGAGGCAACAGTTGGTTCATCGCTCGCGCCTGTGAGTACTGCCTCTCGCCTGCACAGACCTCAGTTACAGCTGGTAAATTCGGGTCTTTTCCTATCATGTTCAGAAGGAAAGCTTCTTGTATAAAACTGAAAACATTTAAATACACACATGTGTGCACACATACACATACATAACTATATATATGTGTGTGCGTGTATGTGTTTACTTATGCATATGTATATCTACGGTACATATGTGTGTACATTTATATTATATCCATATTTGTGTGTGCGTTATATGTTTCTACACTTTGTTTTCTTTTTTGTAAGTATTTTTCAGTAATATCACCCAACACAGCCAAAGGCAATGTGAAGCACAGTAAAATGAATAACCCGTCAAGCCTTCGGGCCCAATTTTCGAATATTTTCAGGAATCGTGCGTCCTTCTGCAAAATCCCCCGAGAAGATGGTTCGCTCCCCGCTGATGGTCGTTCGGTCGTTGATGGTGCTTGGGATCTGTAGCGGAGGTGAGTCCAGAAGCTGCCTGCTGACTGTGTCGTTTCTGGAATACTTACATAAGCATATGCAGTATTTATGCATGTGTTAATGTGAGATAGATGTATGCAAATGCTATAGATAAGCATATGGGTACAGATTAATATATGATCTAACTATACCGAAATGTCTGAATAGACTCACATGTAAAGTCACAATTCCACAGGTACGTATTATGCGTGATTGCTTACACAAAGCATATCATTACAAAATACCCTAGGATGATTTCTGCCCATTTTAGAAAATACAGGTATATCTCATTGACTAAGTAATGTTTGTGTCAATTGCTACACGCTGTTCTCATTATAAAAAAATCAACAGCATAATTAGCATTATCGAAAACATCAATATTGATATTGATTTCAAACCAATATTATCATTTTGTTTATTTCAGCTTACAGCGATTGCTCTCCTGGGTTCCTAGAGTGTGCTACAACGACTGAATGCATCAGTACGTCAAAGATTTGTAATGGCCTAAAGTGATGCAGTGACTACTCAGACGAATACATCTGCACCGTAAGTGACTGTAGTTTTGACTTTGATCAAATACATTGAATAGAACGAAATGACTCGCTGACGGGAAAATGAAAATGCGCAAGACAAGTATATATTTTTCATTCGTACTTTAAGTGGGTAATTTGAAATCCGCTGTTGTTTTAGGGAAACAAGATAAAAGTATTTCCTTCTACCACAATGACCACTACTACTACAACCACCACAACTACCAGTGAGTATGGGAAATAAAAAAATGGTTATTTTTGTATATTAAATGTCATTAAATGAACCGATATGACTGAACTAACAATGAATTTGCATACAAGTGGAAGCAGTTTTCTTTCATAATGCGCACTTCTAGGCAAAATGGGAGAAGCCCTGCATACACAAAATGCATGGTTAATCAAATTTCATTATATATATATATATATATATATATATATATATATATATATATATATATATATATATATACATATACGTTATATATATTACATGTGTATATATTTATACACATATGCATATATTTCTGTATGTGTATAAACACATACACTTACACATACACATATGCATATATATGTGTGTGTGCACTTTCATAAATTTATGCAAACACATGTCTTTGAGAAGCAGAAAAAACGAAAAGCAGGTGCTCACACTGTAGGGAGATTTTACGAATTTTCTGTTTTGTCCTTTGATCTGGATTACAAAAACCAAAATTAATATGCTAAAAATAACATATCTGTATATATATATATACATTGTCGAGGATTGTAAGGAAAATCATAGCGGTTTCATAAATAGTTAAAGGTTCTTGCTTCGACTAATGTCTCCGTCCTTCAAGCGACGCCCGCCCCCACCCCTCCCCCACCCAACAACGTGGAGGAGAGCGAGGCGCTGGGTCAGAAGTTCGCTCGGACCTTCAACGACACACTCCACCACCCAAGATGCCCCAAGCTCTACACCAGCGTCGGGAACAAGTGCCTCTCTCTCCTCTACTTCGTCAAGGTAAAGTTTTTTTCTATTATTGTGGTTATGTCCTGTCGTGTTTCCATTCCTAGTGTACATAACATCGTCCCTATTTTACAATCCGATAAATAGCAGAACTACGTTCCTAAAACTTGACTTCTGATTAAGCTTAGATAATCAACCGGGAATATTTATTTACTGAATGATTATTGGTCGTCATTGATGTGTCGATCACTGCCTTCTCCAGGTCGGCTGGGGGGAGGCGAGGGCCCTGTGCTCGGCCGTCGGTGGGGAGCTGGTTCGCTATCCTTCTGCCTCCGACGGGGAGTTCGCTGCTCTCCTGAAGTACCTGCGGGAGATAGGTCAATGTCTTGCTGTTTCGTTCATGAAGTTGATATGAATTTATATATGTGTGTGTGTGACAAGGAACATTACCCAGAATAAGCATAAAGAATTTGGTAGAACATATCTAATAATTCAAATCCTATGTCAGATGTACTGAGAGTTTTACGTAATATGGACTGATGGTGTATTGCATTGATATAGAGAATCCTCCCTGACCTAGACTCGAACCTTTGCCACTCCAGGAATATGACCTAGAATTAGTAGTACTAAACTAACTGATCGTGTGATTCCCAGCTGGTTTAGTACTGCTCATTTTGGTCCATGAACTTGCAGTGTTGGAGATCTGTGGCCTTTTCAGGAACGGTTGTTCAATGTCTATATCAATTCGTTACATTATTATTCCATCTTATACATACACACACACACGTGTGTGTGTGTGTGTCACATAACCTGCATATAAATATATACGCATATATATGGATATGCAAGTACAGTATGTATGCATTTATATATTCACACATGCGTGCACATATATATCTTAACCAAATCACTACGGATTTATGTACTGCCCCCTGTATTTTTTGTGCGTGTGGATGGCTCCACATATGTTCAGCCTCTAAGGAGTCCATAAGTAGAGCCTAGTGACAGCTCCTGATTTCCCCGTTCCTTTTAATTGCGGGGAAATGTTATTCTTTCTAATACTATCGATATCGATATTATTATTCTTATTGATATCATGATTATTAAAAACTTACATTAAAGACACTGGAATAATACAAAAGAAACTTTCCAAATATCAAGGAAAAGTATAGCAGGTGAGATAAGGCAACTAACTGATTTCTTGGTGGCTACGCACATGTAGAGCCATCTATGTGTAAATACAATAAATGAACTTATATTACAGTGGGCATGACATGTATTCTTGCCATCCGTACCGATTAAGCTAGTATATTGCTGGACATTGCCCTGCTTAATATGCACTTTGCTGCGCAGGGATGACGACGGACTTCTGGGTGGGAGGCAGGTACACGAAGGACACCGAGGCGTGGACGTGGCTGGACGACGCCCCGATGGACCTCGGCTCGCCCTACTGGGCCGTCAGGTGAGGCAGGGTCAACGGGTCGGGGACCCACGCCGCAGTCGCTGGAGGTCACTTGACCCTCAGCTTTTCTGGTGTCTCCTTGTCATTTTTAAAGAGGTTTACGGTTTTGTTTCAGTTGTGGATAGTATAATCTATTTTATCATAAATATACATAAACATACATAAATATTCCTCTTCTCTTAAATAATAAGATATTTATTAGCGACTGATTTATCCACTCGATCTTCAAACGACCTTTGAAATCCAAGAAAACTGATGCTTATCTTTTGGTCATCAGCAATAAATATAAAAAAAATGGAATATTGTCAGTGGATGCATTACGTGAAATGTTCAAACGCACAAATGTGATTCGGTGAACTCACGACTGTTTATCACACACTATAGAGACGTTCCCTTCCCCCGCAGACACACAGACAGTTGCAGCAGCCGCCAGCCGGAGTCGGCGCCAGACGGCAAGCCTGAGGACGTCGCCTACTGGACCAACACTTCGGCCTGCTACCACTACGAGCAGGCGCCCCGGCGCGACTCCCACGAGCTCTGCGCCGCCGTCACCTTCCGCCACTACTTCTACATGAGCGACGAGGACTGCCTCAGCGTCAGGAGCCCTCTGTGTGAACATGTTCCCAGCACCGCCCATGACCTCACGCTCGCTGGCAATCCGTGAGCGCCGGCCGCTTTTCAGCTCGCCAGAATGAGCTAGCTTCACAGTACTACTTAAGGTTTCTCGTATCTTACTAATCAGTCAGTTATATTTTCAAAATAACACCATATATCTTGTAAACTCAGCTACAAGATAATTGCACTGTTATATATCTTTTGTAAACGTTATGGTTATATTATAAGACTTATATTGCAGAGAAATTTTGAAAATGCAGCTGCAAATAATATATGTATAAAATATACACTAACTAAAAAAAATATATATACTTATATTCACTGCATGTAAATGTAAATATGCACATGTATCTTTACACCCACCCATATATATTACTGTGTAAGTGCGTGTATACATAGGGATATAATCTAGACACAAATACAATATATGTGCAGCATATACTGTGCGTCGCCGTGTGTTTTACGAGTGCGTTCGCCAGTTTGTAAAAAATCGTACTAGTATCAGTCATTACTCCAGTAATATGCCCATGAATAGAATTTTGTAATATCAATTACTCTCAAGTATCGAGTGCTTCACTGTGCTTCCGTGTCACAGAACATTAACTGTCCTGAACCTTGGGCGTCAGAATGTCAACTTGTGATCGAATTCATCAGACCAGTAACTGTTGCAAAGCATCTGTAAGCGAAATTGGTTTAGGGAAGATAGTAGCGCGACATAAGACGGAGGCGTTCGGGGAAGCGAAATGCCTGCCCAGAGATTATATAACTATATGAATGTACACTGCCACTTTCTTAATAAAATACTACAACCCACTGTTATTCCGGATTTTAGTTTCTTTTTTTTTTACCTTCGTCGGTTTTCAATAATGAAAGTGCTGCCAAAAGGGCATAACAAATCAAAGATAATGGTAACGGCCCGAAGTATGCTGTACGCGTTACAGTAATGAAGTATTTAACTGAATGGTGACAAACTTTCAAAATGTTTATTTCTATAACTATACACGTATACACATGTACGTTACACATAATCACAGTCATACCCGTTCACATACACCCACGCAAGGCATCACATAGTTACCCTCGTTTACATAGACATCCTTGTGCACACGTACTCATACACATGCAGACACACGCACATGTACGCACACATACATACACACACACACGTGTGTGTGTGTGTCACATAACCTGCATATAAATATATACGCATATATATGGATATGCAAGTACAGTATGTATGCATTTATATATTCACACATGCGTGCACATATATATCTTAACCAAATCACTACGGATTTATGTACTGCCCCCTGTATTTTTTGTGCGTGTGGATGGCTCCACATATGTTCAGCCTCTAAGGAGTCCATAAGTAGAGCCTAGTGACAGCTCCTGATTTCCCCGTTCCTTTTAATTGCGGGGAAATGTTATTCTTTCTAATACTATCGATATCGATATTATTATTCTTATTGATATCATGATTATTAAAAACTGTTATTAAAGTCTTGCTAACATTAAAGACACTGGAATAATACAAAAGAAACTTTCCAAATATCAAGGAAAAGGATAAGCAGGTGAGATAAGGCAACTAACTGATTTCTTGGTGGCTACGCACATGTAGAGCCATCTATGTGTAAATACAATAAATGAACTTATATTACAGTGGGCATGACATGTATTCTTGCCATCCGTACCGATTAAGCTAGTATATTGCTGGACATTGCCCTGCTTAATATGCACTTTGCTGCGCAGGGATGACGACGGACTTCTGGGTGGGAGGCCGGTACACGAAGGACACCGAGGCGTGGACGTGGCTGGACGACGCCCCGATGGACCTCGGCTCGCCCTACTGGGCCGTCAGGTGAGGCAGGGTCAGCGGGTCGGGGACCCACGCCGCGGGGAATCACACACTATAGAGACGTTCCCTTCCCCCGCAGACACACAGACAGTTGCAGCAGCCGCCAGCAGGAGTCGGCGCCAGACGGCAAGCCTGAGGACGTCGCCTACTGGACCAACACTTCGGCCTGCTACCACTACGAGCAGGCGCCCCGGCGCGACTCCCACGAGCTCTGCGCCGCCGTCACCTTCCGCCACTACTTCTACATGAGCGACGAGGACTGCCTCAGCGTCAGGAGCCCTCTGTGTGAACATGTTCCCAGCACCGCCCATGACCTCACGCTCGCTGGCAATCCGTGAGCGCCGGCCGCTTTTCAGCTCGCCAGAATGAGCTAGCTTCACAGTACTACTTAAGGTTTCTCGTATCTTACTAATCAGTCAGTTATATTTTCAAAATAACACCATATATCTTGTAAACTCAGCTACAAGATAATTGCACTGTTATATATCTTTTGTAAACGTTATGGTTATATTATAAGACTTATATTGCAGAGAAATTTTGAAAATGCAGCTGCAAATAATATATGTATAAAATATACACTAACTAAAAAAAATATATATACTTATATTCACTGCATGTAAATGTAAATATGCACATGTATCTTTACACCCACCCATATATATTACTGTGTAAGTGCGTGTATACATAGGGATATAATCTAGACACAAATACAATATATGTGCAGCATATACTGTGCGTCGCCGTGTGTTTTACGAGTGCGTTCGCCAGTTTGTAAAAAATCGTACTAGTATCAGTCATTACTCCAGTAATATGCCCATGAATAGAATTTTGTAATATCAATTACTCTCAAGTATCGAGTGCTTCACTGTGCTTCCGTGTCACAGAACATTAACTGTCCTGAACCTTGGGCGTCAGAATGTCAACTTGTGATCGAATTCATCAGACCAGTAACTGTTGCAAAGCATCTGTAAGCGAAATTGGTTTAGGGAAGATAGTAGCGCGACATAAGACGGAGGCGTTCGGGGAAGCGAAATGCCTGCCCAGAGATTATATAACTA